CAGCCGGGGGGTTCCGAAAGGGAGATGTGTACCTTTGAAAGCACTGATAGGAAGCCCTGGGTGGCAGAGCCTCCTGTCCTCCAAATGACGAGTGACTCCATGCTGTGTCACCAGGAGACCTGCCAAGTTGCCAGAAAATCCTGGCTGAGGCAAAGACAGAGCCTGCAGGGGGGCAGTGGAGGTGTTTCCATGGCCCAGAGCCTAGTTTCTCCTCCAGTCTGGGGTTTTACAGGGCAAGGAATGTACAGCAGTGGGGTCATTGAGAGATCACTGGATTTAGACCCAGAAATCCTGAACTCTAGTTTCCTCTGCCCATGCTGTGTGACCATCGTGAGTTACAGTCCCTCTCTGGTCTTCAGTGCCCTCATCAGTGCAATGTAAATCACAGCAGAGTCCTCTCTTGTGGGGTTGGTGTGAGGATAAAGGGATAACCACCGTGATATAGAAAGCACTCAAGAAACACTGATCTTCCACCTTAGCAACCAAGTCTCCATGTTCAGGTATAAACATGAGGGAGATGGGCTGGACATTTCCAAGGTTTCTTGAAGGTTCTCTGCTTCTGTGGTCCAAGCTGATTCATTTGGAGCCAACATGGGTGCATATCCAGCGTTTTCCAGTTTAGAAATGAAAAGGCAGTTCCCGAACCTCCTCTCCTTCCTCTGTCCTCCTTCCTCCCCTCCTCCCAGCCCCTATCAGAATGAATTGAAATCCCATCCAACAGAAAGATGCTGATTTAGATGTATTGGAGTTCAGCTCTTGCTGCAAATGGAAGACGCTTTGAATCCCTAGGGACCAAGAAAAGCATTTTGAAACCTGCTCCTCCCTGCCTCACACTGACTGCATTTCAGGGGGGCAGTGTCAGCCTCTGTGAGACCCTCCCCTCTGGAGCAGGCCTATTAAACTGCTTCTCTGTTGCCAGGGTTGAGGCAGCTGTCGCCAACTTGCTTGGGAAATGGTATTTATAGATAGCAGTCCCTCCTACCCCTGGTCCCCAGCCTCTTCCTATGCACTTGTCGGGAGCCACAATTATCTGTGAGTGGAGAAGAGGGACCGTGGCAGGTCCAAGGAAGTGAGGAACGTGATAATAGGCCCTTCACAATCTCAAACTTTTAGTGTTTTTCCATTATTTCCATTTATTTCTCTTCTTGTGGCATGCTTCCTTCTTCTTGCTAGCCTTACCATTATAATTTCACATCATGATACATAGAAGAAAGTGTACCAAGGCCAGAGGTAGAAAGGCTGGTATTTGAATGTAGAGTACCTTTGTGATCTCAGACAAGCTGCCTCACTTCTCACGGACTCATTTATCTTCATCTGTTACCCTGAGATGGTTTTAGGTACTGCTCAGGGAGACAGTATGAAGAAGAGCCTCCAGCACCACGCCTGGTATACAGTGAGTACTCAATCGTTGTAAGCCACAGATGCCCCTCAGCTGGTTTAGAGTGCTGCCTTCAATTCAGTCTTACATGGTTTATGACTATTAATGCAAGGTTTACTACTCAGAACGCTGGCTGGAGATGGAGAAGGTATAGGAGATTGATCTGATTGAGGCTGCTTCCTCATTATTGGCATTTGCTTGTATTAGAAACATACACGAAATGGAATGGGCTTGATTTTTGGATTCTATGCTTCACCTCAAAATGAAATATTGAAATTTAAAGGAAAGTTCGCTGGCCATTGGGATGAGGATTCACTGGTAACATTGCTCCCCCTTTCCAACTCCCCCCTACCACCACTAGCCTCTACAGAAAAGCAGGGGAATGGATGATGAGCCTGCCTTCCAATGGTGCATTCAATGTCTATATTCCCTGAATCTGAGAGTGATGACAGACGACGGCTTGGCTGAATTCCTCCGTTTCTATCCTACGCACTCTGATTTCATTCTCTCACATTCTCCCCCTCCAGTATCTCCTCCCGTAGCCCCTGCCTGGTCATCTGCTCTAGCTTTTTCTCCACCATCTCCAACACCGAATCCTTTTCTCCTCTCTTATCACCCATCCCCGTCTTCCACCCTTTTCCCCAGCCTCGCACTCCCTGCACCCCCTGAACACCACCTCCTTTCTAAGTCCTCTCGCTATATCATTAATGCCTTCTTTGATACAGCCCACAACCTCATGATTATTCCGAGGTCAGGAGATGCAGGTGCCATGCAGCTCGCGAATGCAGCTCAGAGGGCCTCTGTCCCCAATCCCTCCTGCTCGACAGGGATAGAATCCTAATTTGCCATGAGCCCCGTTGCTTATGGCAGCATCACCAGGAACTTTCATCCTTTTATTTCCCCCACCGAGGATTCTGAGAGTTCAGCCACAATGAGGCATTGATTCAAGGAGTGGGGGCTGTGGTCCCGACAAAGGGTCCCAATGATAAGACACGAGAAAGGGGGCGCTCTGCGGGGTTATAGAATGCCTTGCAGATGGGGACAGAGGAGCTCTAAATGGGGTACTGTCCCGTCACTTGGAGAGGGAGTGACAGGGGCAAGTGTGGGCCATTTGAAAGAGGCATTTTTGAAATGACGCTCTCGTCAGATGGAACCACGCAATCAGAGCCGTGTGGAGGGCCCCTGCAGCTCACAAAAATATCAGATGACTCACCCAATATTCAGTCAATGTTCTGGTTTGGGAGGTGGGAGCCACACAGCTCATTATTATTCCAGCCCCGTGTCCTGAGGCTGGGCCTGCTGCTGTTCTCCAGGCTGTAATAGGATTGGTCTCAGGAACAGAAACCGGGGAGGCTTGGAGCTGTGTGGGTGGATGGTATGGAAAACTAATACTGTGGTCGTGAGGGGAGGGGGAGGTGTTTGTTTTCCTTTTGGTTAATGTTAATGAAAACTATGAAGAAAAAATATTAATATGCTTTGTTCATTCATTGAGCGGACATTTATAGAGGCAGGCTCTGGGCTGGTACCTCGGGAAAGAGGGACCCCTCCTCTCAAATTGAAGAGCCTGGAGGGGAAACTGACAAGAAAACAAGGGGTTTCAATACAGTGTTTGGATGTTGTCAGGGAGGCCTCTTTCCCAGGGGTGTGGATGGTTCTGTGGATTTAAAAGGCACAGGGTTTCAAGGAGGCGCTAATTATTCCGCCATTTTCTCTTGGCTGATAAGCAACTCCTTTAGAGCAAGGCATGCTGGGAAGCCATTTCAACAGTATCCATTTTCAAATGGATATGACAAAATGGCTTTCCTCAAACTCCAGTGAGATAGCGGAATCCCTGAAAGTGTCTCAATACCTTCAAAGGAAGAGCTTATTCTCTGGGATAAGAGTACTTTTTTATTATTACCTTTTTCATAATTGCTCTCTGCCAGACTCTTCTAAGCACTTTAAATGTATTATCTCACTGAATCCTCTCACAGGCTCCCTAAGATGGGCTGTATTATCCTCATTTTAGATATGGATACTGTGGCTTAAAGAGACAAAGTGATTTGTTCCTGGTTACAAAACAGAGCTTTGAACTCAGCTCTGCTTGAGCCGACACCCATGCTTTTCAACATTTGGTTCTATCACTTAATCAGGCTCTTGGTGTTTGTGGTTTGGTGATTGTGGCTCATTAGTGTAAGAGAGACTCGATGGATTCTAACACTCCCTACCAGAGGGAGTCCAGTGCAAATCAGCTGCCATGTCCAGCTTCATAAAATGGGGATCAGAGCCACCCACACCGTTACCATCACCCTCTCTTGACTCTCACTTGATAGATAATGCAAAAGGCCATATCTATGTGCCAGGAGACTTCTCTACTCACTGGTTGTATGACGTTGAGTCCATCATTTCACTTCTGAACTTCCATTGCCATGTTTATAAAATAGAGCTGATAATCCCTTTGCAGGAATAACAAGACCTAACTTTTATGAAGCTCTGGTTAACTACCAAGTTTGGGGCTAAGCCTTCACATAAAAATTCATGTAATCCTCACAACAGCTCTGTGTGGTAGGGATGATTAGGAAGATGAAGGAAACTGCCCAGCATTGCCTCAGCTTGCACGTGGAGAAGCCAGGATTTTAGGCTATCTCTGACTGACCTCAAGTCCCAAGCTATTTTCAGGGTGTTATTCTGAGGCTCAAGTGAGAAAATGGGAGGGAATATATCCTGTGCAGGGTAAAATGTGCTAGACACATGTAAAGGATTATTGGTAGCATGGAAGACAGCCAAAAGATGACTTGCACAGAAATGAGGAAAGATGAGAGGCCTCTAAGCTGACTGCCTTACATATTTTTACCTATTCTTCTGTTGCTTTTTATCTGATGGAGTATCTGTCTTCATTGGAATGTTTCAGTGGCTGGAATCTGGGTATAGGCTTTGGTATCACTTATAGTGTTCAGGGGCCATGGTGGGAGACCCTAGAGATAAAGGTTGCAATGAATATGCCACTGAATTGAGAGTCTGGAGCTCTGGAAAAATGGGAGAAATAACTCGATTCTTATGTGTTTTGAAAAACCACTGTGAAGATCATGTAAGATCTTCACTATGGAAGCACTATCTGATTTCTTTATTATAAAATATAATTTGTTTTTGTTGAAGTTGTTGGATATTATATAACCTCATGGGAGGAATCTGTGAAGGGGGTTGAAACATTTGATGTGAGTTAAAAAAAATAACCCTTAAGGATTTTTCTGTTGCTGAGTTTTTTACAATGCTGTCATCTGGAGGGGGTATTTGAATTTAGACACTCTAATTTTCTGAATCAAACTTCTTCTTTGGGACTGTCGTGTATGGAATCATACAGCAGGAAGGACCCCCAAAGAACATTCGCTCTAACCCCTTCACTTTGCAGATGAAGACATTGTATGTTTGACGGGTAAAGTACAATGTCATTCCGCTGGTTGGTGGTATTAGGAGGAACTACAATGTAGTTCTTACAGTTTATATTCAGTGCCCTTCCTATCCTAACTGTTCTGCTCAGTCCTGTCACTCTTTGGGCCCTCCAATTTGCATTATCAGTTGGACAACCACAGCTCACAGCCCCACCCATGGTGGTAACGCTCTCCATTTTCCCTCTATCCCCCAGGACAATTCAGCAGTGGCTTGCAAGGGTCCAGTCGCTTCTCTACTGTAATGAGAATGGGTTTTGGGGAACCTTCCTGGAGAGCCAGAGGAGCTGCGTGTGCCACGGGAGCACCACGCTGTGCCAGCGCCCCATACCCTGCATCATCGGCGGGAACAACAGCTGTGCCATGTGCAGCCTGGCCAACATCTCACTCTGCGGCTCCTGCAACAAGGGCTACAAGCTGTACCGAGGCCGCTGCGAACCCCAGAACGTGGACTCGGAGCGGAGCGAGCAGTTCATCAGCTTTGAGACCGACCTGGACTTCCAGGACCTGGAGCTGAAGTACCTGTTGCAGAAGATGGACTCGCGCCTGTACGTGCACACCACCTTCATCAGCAACGAGATCCGCCTCGACACCTTCTTCGATCCTCGGTGGCGCAAGCGCATGTCCCTCACTCTCAAGAGCAACAAGAACCGCATGGACTTCATACACATGGTGATCGGCATGTCCATGCGCATCTGCCAGATGCGCAACAGCAGCCTGGACCCCATGTTCTTTGTCTATGTCAACCCCTTCAGCGGGAGCCATTCGGAGGGCTGGAACATGCCCTTCGGGGAATTTGGCTACCCACGTTGGGAGAAGATCCGTCTCCAAAACAGCCAGTGCTACAACTGGACTCTCTTGCTGGGCAATCGGTGGAAAACGTTTTTCGAGACGGTCCACATCTACCTACGTAGTCGGACTCGGCTACCTACTCTGCTGCGCAACGAGACTGGCCAGGGCCCCGTGGACCTGTCCGACCCCTCCAAGAGGCAGTTCTACATCAAGATCTCGGATGTGCAGGTGTTCGGGTACAGCTTGCGGTTCAACGCCGACCTCCTTCGCAGCGCGGTGCAGCAGGTCAACCAGTCCTACACGCAAGGTGGCCAGTTCTACTCTTCCTCGTCCGTGATGCTCCTCTTGTTGGATATTCGGGACCGAATTAACCGCCTGGCCCCGCCTGTGGCCCCGGGGAAACCCCAGCTGGACTTGTTCTCCTGTATGCTGAAACACCGCCTGAAACTGACCAACAGCGAGATCATCAGAGTGAACCACGCCTTGGACCTCTACAACACGGAGATCCTCAAACAGTCGGACCAGATGACAGCCAAACTCTGCTAACCTGGGACTCCTTGCCATGGACCTTCCCTTTTGTTGTACAAACACAATAGAACAAAACAAAGCAAAACAAAACACAACAACAAAAAACCCGAAAAATTTGTAAAATGTAATTAATATTCAAAGAAAAGGAGAAAAATCTTCATTTGTTGGAAACTAAAACGTTTTAGCAACTGTATAAAACCGTTGGGCATGTTTGTTATTTCTATACTCTGTCATGAAGAAGGGGCTCAGCCTTTTGTGGAGCTTTGAGGGAGTTGCTTCTTAGGCCTCAGGTGCTGTATTGAGGGGGGAGAAGGGAGAGAGCATATGCAATGAATTGTAGAGATCTCTGCTGTGCAGGTGCTAAGATTAAACACTAAAATGAGAGAGAGATATATGTAATGTACAACTGACACTGCCATTTTTCCTTGTGGGAGGAAATGGACATAGATAAAGAAGATATTTCTTCGGTTAAGATTTCTTCACTCTTTATGCTTAATTCCTTGTGGTTCTTTTGACGCATTCTCACGCAGGGGTGGGGATACAATCACACTGTTATTGTACCCATAGGACTTCTTTCATCCTGAACACACTAACACTGACGGAAGCTGGCCAACAGGTGGGATTGGAAGGGGATACATTCACATAATCATAAGACAATAAGTAATCTTGAATATCAGCTAGTCACCCCCTTAGTTTGGGAATAGATCCAGAGAGGAACGGCATGCCCATTTTTACATCTAGAGTTACTGACTGAATAAGGTCTCAAACCCCACATTATAACTCCTTGGCAATACACCTTTTTCCACATCATGATGGCCACTTTTGTATTTTCTCTAACAACAAAGCTGCCAAGGGGTAAAGTATTAATATTTTCCAGTCTGAGGTTGTTTGGATAGATTTTGTGTGTGTGTGTGTGTGTGTGTGTGTGTGTGTGTGTGTGTGAAGAAATGCCTCCCACCTACTTCCTATTCTCCCCCAAAAAAGTAGTTTCAGATTTCTCAGAAATTTTTTTCATATTAAAGATAAAGTTTAGTTTAAATAAAATCAATGACCAAAGTAAAGTCAAATAAGGTAAGTTTTAGTGTTGCATTCATTGGTCTACCAGACAGATTTTTCTAAGGAAGTATCTAAAATATACACATATATATATATCCTTTGATTAACTCGTAATACATGTGCACATGCACACACCTACCCCTCCCCCCACAGTGATATAAACACTGCCACTTTCTTGGCACCTGTGAAAGGTGAGAAGCCTTGTGAGGGTCTTGGGGGTTAAATTGGACTAAGAGACTCAAGAAAGAGAGCTCGTTTGAAAGCAGCTCTGTAGAGGATTTGTACAGACATCACTTCTTAGTCTCCAGGAACTCTGAGTTTATCTTTTTGCTAAGGTGGTACCTGCAAAAGATGTTTCCCAAGCATCTGGACCCTCATTTCTGAATTGGCAGAGAAAAGCAGAACCACAAAACTTTAGGCTTGAAAGAGAAAAATAGAACTACTGTGGTCTAAACTTCTTCCCAGTGCAAATCTCTTCATCATTATTGGAAAATCACCATTCAGTGACTAGCTGTACCATAGCAGGGATACGAAGCTAATTAGCTCTATTTCCACTTTCCTTGAATTCTTCCAGAGAGGCAAAATAATAGCTCCCATTCCAGCTTGTGTTATAAAACAAATCTAATGATTAGAATATCCTTTCCATATCTTGACCAGCTTTGCATACTTTCACCCACTGGCTCCACTCTGGAATGTGCATTTCTCTCTCAAGGTAGTGCTATCCTAGATAAAACACAAAGACCTATGTCAGAGGTCACTGGAGTCTGGGACAACAGAACACAAAGTGAACACTATCTCTAATGTAGTTTATTTTAAGGTGAAAGAAGGCAAGGGCTTCAATGCATAAGAGGTAAAGAATTATCTAGTTTGTTTAAGTGTGTGTGAGGGAAGGATTCTTTTGTTTTTCCAAAATGATAAATTCTAATTTTAGTATTTCAGTTTTTATTATGAATTAGCATATATTCTATACCAACTTGATATGTGCTTTACACTAACATAGGTTTTTAGATCTCAGATTTTGGAAGGCTTCAGTGTTCGTTAAGGTTGGAAATACTTCATGCCAGAGGTTACATTATAGCTTATCCATCAAGCACGAAATTTTTCAGGTCAGTAAATCATCAAGCATTTCTTAAATACCTAGTAGATGAATGGGGCATGTCAGAAATACAAAGATTTGTAAGGAAATGGTTTATGCTTTTGTGCCAATCACAAACTAATGAAAAAGGTAGACATATAAACCAATTAAAAAAACATTAATTACAGTATACCATGAAGAATGCTATCATGCAGTCAGGGACACGGAGTGGAGTCCTAAAGACCTTATTAACTCTGTTCATGGGGTTGTAAGAGCCTTTATAAAGGGGACTTGTTCATTCTGAATGTTGAAAAATGACCAGGAGTTGGGCAAATAATAAAGAACAAAATGACCAAAGGAACAGTGAATGCAAAAATACATCAGTATAAATATGCATGGTGTGTTTAAGGGTCAGGTATAATAATAATTTTAAAAAATGTTACATTAAATGGTAAAACTACCAAGAGAAATGAAGATTTTGACTCTATATGAGAAGTGGAAACGATTATCCAGTCTTTATGATCTAAAGAATGAATTGCAGACTGATTGTTCCTCAGTTCCCTCTCTTTTCTCCTTCCTCTTCACTTTCCAGGCACTTTCAAAGACTCCTAATGCAATAAGCCCTTGTATTTGCACAACACTTTACAGATTGCAAGGCAATCTTCATAAATACCATGCTACCTGATCCTTATAGCAATTCAATTAGGACCTTCAACCCAAGTTCCTTCCCAGACTTCACCAGCTGCATGCGTGGGAAAACCTTCTTCCCTTCACCTTGGAAATATTAATTCACTCACTTCATCTTACAGAGAGAATGCAGCAATGCTTAGTGATTAGAAAAGCCAGGGAAATAGAGAAATTTTCAAGGAGAGAGAAAATCTCAGACGTCAAAATATTTATTTCAAGGTGAGAAGAAATACATTGTTAAGAAGGGAAACAAAGTTCTGTGGATTTCCAAATGTCTCCTGCTTGGGTCTGGCTGGCCCTCTGAGCTAATCAGGCTCTCCTCTAGCTGGGAGGAAGAGAAGCCTGAAGCCTCTAAGTAAGATTTTAATTCAATTAGTGTTTTACCAATTTGATGCAGCAACCAAAGACCTATGGTGTCTGATTAATATGCTGATGCTAAGACACAGGAGTGAACAGAATGCCCATTTGGATAAGGCCTGGCAGCAAAGCGTGGCATTGCTATGGAAACCACAGAAGGCCATTAATTAGCTATCAAATAAAATCATTGGAAAATTCTGGACCCTCGCACATCTGCCCCCTTCAGAGAGGAGGGCAAGAAGAGGTCACACTAACAGCAAGGCTCCCTTCAGCGATTAAAATCATAGTTACGCAGAGACTATATGTTGCAAAGTGGAAGGAAGGTAGGGGAGCACAATGAACACAACAGGAATGAGGCTTTGGGATTATTCAAGCCCAAGAATGTAATCTGGGATGTGAAGTATCTTGTTGGGTTGTCTATATTGACAAAATGATATCAATGACAAATAGCTTATTCTATTCCCTGTTCCGTAGGAAAAAAAAAAAGATGATAATATGGATCCACTAGATGGTGATACATGACCAGGGAAAGAGACCAGAGTCATAGGGTGAAGAGTGATTAACCCTTGAAATAATTAATACGGATCATATGACTTTCAAGTTAATAGAGGAAAAACTTAAAAATTGAAAAGGCAGAAAGGGAGAAAAAAAGAATCATTAAAATAGCTGGGCATGTATGAACGAACACAATAACAAAACTTACTACACAGATAATCACAATAAATGTAATTGGATAAAACTGATTGGTTAAAAAACAGAGGTTGTCACATTACAAATTATAAATTAAAAAACAAAGATAAAGAACAGACGAAAATAAAATAATTGAAAAATATATGTTAGATACATACTGACCAAGAGAAAGCTGATGTAGCAATGTTAATAGCAGTCATAATAGACTTTTAGGCAAAATTCATTATAAAAGTTAAAGATGGTTAATTTACCAGGAAAAATGGCATGAAGAGAAGACTGGACACATGGAATCATAGACTTCTAGGGCTAAAGGAGTCTTTAAATATCTTTAACTCTTCAACTTTCGGAGATGAGGAATTATATCCAAGGCTATTCTACAGGTTTTGAACACTAACCATGAGTTTAGTTTCTTTTTTATCATCTCAAAGTGAAAGTTTGTCTACCTTAATTTCCTAATCAATACAAGGATTAAGGACCAGCCTCCTGACATTAATACTAATGGGTTACCAAACTTACACGCGTGTTCTCTATGTGTGTGTGTATAGATAGATATGTCTCTATATATATGTATCTATGTATATGTGTGTATGTATACATATCTAATATATTCACACGCGCACACACGCATATTCTTTTTCTTGTGTCATCAAAATCTTATGCGTAGACATTTTTCAAGTTGAGAATCAACCAAATCCTTGGATGGTTATAATGATCCTGGGCTGAGTAGAGGTCACTCTTTTCCTGAGAACTGCATAATATCAGTGACTCCAACCTCTGTAACTCTGATAACCCAGAGGGAGGGGGTTTCCTGGGGGAACTTTCCTGTCTCAGTATTTTTTCTCTCTCCAAACCATTATCAGGGGCTGCAGTTACGAGTATAACGTCAGATCATTCCTTACTTCTTAGTATGGGTCTAATTGTTAGCATTCTGAGGCAAGGTATGGTACATTCTCTGACTGCTTAGCTTGGAACCCTCCACCCCCGTCAACAAACTCACAAATCAAGATGGATACAGGGAGTGGAAGGGGATCTACTCAAATCAATCAAGGAGCAGGAAATAACCTCAAGGTTTTTATTATTGTTATTATTAACTTGTCTCCTAGTTCATTTGGGGGGGGATTAGAGATCTTTTTAATTTTAGTTGATTTGTGGGATATTGCAGATCTCTTTGAGACATGCGAAAGCTGTGGGCTTTTTCCCAATAAAAATGTACCTTCACATACACTTTTGAATAATATTTCACAGATACTTTAAAACCTTTCTTGAACATTCTGGAACGCTACAGACCTTGGGTAAGTACCTCTGATCTAGTCTAAACCATGAGTTTAGTTCCCTTTTTACTACTTCAAACATAGTTTGAACTAGGATCACCTATCAAGTTTATATAGCACCATACTGCCCTCAGGTAAGGCAGTCTTTATATAAAGGTAAATCACATTCAGTGGGAATAGTAGTTATCGCCACTTTAATACAACCCAACATATACTGAATCCGAATTTATTAAGTAGATATGTTATTTGTAAGTACTAATTAAAAGAAAGAAGTATTTAAACTGGATAATAAGGAGTTAGGTTAAAGGATGGAAAGGAACGCCTTGGTACGTATTGTATCA